CTGCGAGTTAGAGCAGAAACCCCGTTAAAGGCTCCCCGCCCTGTGCCGCCTGGGGCACAGCCACCACAAGGCCTAGGCCACTTTCCCAAACCAGCAGGAAACCACGGAGATGCCACTGCAGAGCAGCGAAGAGCTTATGTCTGAGAAGCGGAGGAGGGGAAGGGTGGGAGGGCAGCCTAAAACCCCAGCGTGCCAGTGACAGGCTGTCCAGCCACCTCAGGAGGCGCATGCGGGAGCCTGAGAAGCCCCGCAAAGGAAGCAGCTCACTGGCAGAAACTCTCAAAACAGCGGAGTAGCCGCAAGAGCCGCCCACCTTTCCATGAGGCCACAGGAGCACAGGGCCCTTCTCTGTCTCAGACCCTCACGGGGTCACCAGGACAGAGTGACAGCACTCTGCCACCTAAGGAGCCAAAAGGAGCTCTCTCAGCAGGTGGCATGGCGGTAGAGGTGGTTGAACTCCCACACGGTCAACCACGATTCGGGTCCTGGCCCTGGTGGCTTGCCTTATCTCTTTCTCTCTGTCTCTTTCTGGTGAGCACGTGTGCCCTATAGCTAAATAAATAAATAAATAAATAAAATTGGGACTAGCAGATGGAGTAATGGTTATGTCACTGGATTCCCACATGGCTGACCATGGTTCAAGTTCTGGATCCAGTGACTTGAAGAAACTCAGTCAAAGCGCATGTGTGTGCGTGCCCAAAATCCCGAGAGGAGAATGGAGGAGGGAGTGCAGTGTGGCCATCCCCCCAACCCCGAGAGGAGAATGGAGGAGGGAGTGCAGTGTGGCCATCCCCCCAACCCCTCGGAGGTGATTTCTCGCTTTCTGTCTCTCCTGTGAGTGCAAGCGCCCTATAGCAAGAATCTCTCTACAAAATGATGATGATGATGATGAAATTAAATAAATAATTCTTAAAAAAAAAAGAGTTGTCTGACCTTGGGGGCAGGGTGGACGGAGACCCATCTGGGTTTGCAGCAGACACGGCCCGGGCTCCTCAACCCTGGGGGTTTCCTCCTCA